ATGATCGAATCGAATTTTTTATAACATGTTCGAAAGTTAATCGAATCGAATCGAATCTCATTAATTCGAATATGAATCGAATCTGAATCGAATCTGAATCAAATTTTCCCAGATTAACATTACATGTCAATTTAAATTTAATGAATATCAAAATTTATAATTTACATTATTTTACGCAATGATTTAAACAAACTGAAAACCTGTTTTCGATTTACATTTCATTATAAAGGATCATGATCTTATGTAACATTTTGAACTAGAAAATATTAATAATATGTGTATACACGAATAGTTAGAATGTTTGAATATTTTATTAATCTATTAGATGAATACATTACATATATCAAAAACACTTATTTATTAGATAAGAATAATTGGACGCGCGGGAGATGTAAATGAACCAAGTAAAATAGGCGTTGGCTGAAAATATATTCTTTTAAACAAATTGAATAAATCATTAAAAAATTATTGTAATAATTTATTAAACTTTATTTTAAAAAATTTGTGCGTATAAATTAATTTATTTAATTCTGTGAAAAGCAAATTTTTTTCTAGATAGAGGAAAAAATTATATTTCCATCTTATTTCTTACGTTTTTTTTACTAAAAAGAAACGTGTTTTTAAACATTTTTCGAGTGGCCATTTTAACCACTCAGAAACGTTTTTAAGAGTTGGTTATGAAACTGAAACGACCTGTTAACTTCCAACGGACGCGTAGTTAGCTCTAGTCGGAGGACGTGTGGGTTGACAGGTCCGGAGACCGAATAATTTGCTGGCCGTTCTAATTTTACTTAATAGGCGAAATTTATTACAATATATATTTACAATAAGGAGGGTAGGAGTACCTCCGGATTTACAGCGTACTGTGGATATATTATCCTTCGTAGATTCTGTCGCGGCGTGTGGCGTTCGGGAACCGCGTTTGAATCGCTTTACGAGGAGCGGGCGCGCGGGTGGTTATATTCGTAGCGCCTGTGCCGACGGCGGTCGGCGGGAGCAAGCAGCGGCTTGTCCCCGGTCAGGCGTTCCGTCGGAGGGATATGAGCGTGGCCAGCGGCGGCTGGTCGCGGTGAGGAGCTCCTCATCGCTTTCGCCCGAAGGAGCGGAAGGCTTGTTCGACAGGCGGCAGCGGCCGTCGGAGGTAGAACGCTTCCTACCTCCTGGTGTCGTAAAACGTGGTATCGGAGTCGGATTGCGAACGTCGGATGTGCTGTGGTCAGCTCGGTTGCTTGGCCAGATCTCTCTCTCGTACGTCGGCTCGAGCCCCTTTTATACCTGTTCCCCGGCGGCGAGCGCTACCCCGTGGCTTCCTTTTTTATTAGCCCGGGCTTTGTTTTAACTCCCCTTTCGAGCGCTATCCCGTGGCGGAAGGTCTTAACACGCGCGCTTGCCAAAGTCCGCGCGGCGCCGGGTGCACGTGTGCCCGTTCCGGTGTACGCGTGGTGCCGGGTGCGCGCGCGCTCGCTTCGGTCGTCCCTGGCGGTGGTCG